TGTGAGTTTGTGTATGTGTGTGTGTGTCACTTTCTCGAACGAACCGGTTCTCGTCTATAGTGTGTCGTTGTATAGGCGGCTTCGACTGAAATGACTTAACTGTATTGATTTTTGAGCATGCGGTCGCCGATGTTACCTTGAAGGAATGTATAAATTCAACTCCGCCAACCAGTTTTAGAAAATTCACCTTATTTATAGTTGATCTATGTGACTATAGGTGTGAACTGATCGGTTTAAGATTGCGTGTACGACTAACATATAAATATGACGCCTCGGCCTAATTTAAAAGGTCTCGCCTTGATTCAAAATGTTAGATGGAATCGATAGGCACGTACTGCGTGTATATCAGCACATATGTTGTATAGGAAATGGTTCACAATCGCCTACAAATCCGAGGACATACTGCACACACAGCACATCCACTGACTTTATACCGAAAGCCACATTTATTTACGAAAATTTTATGTTCTTGTCACTTCTTAAGTTCTTGGGAAGGGATATTTCATATTTGAATTTCTTTACTTTTGAAACTTGAGTGTTTGACAAGAAACTTTAATACTGCAATTTAATTAGTTCATACCCACGCTACTCGACAGATTTCTTGATATATATTGTTTTCATTCGTGTACATTTAACTTGGCCACGAACGGCTCGAAATTTGCCATACCAGCTTAATATCAGTGGCTTATTTTTAAAGTATTTCTAGCTTTTGTTTTAACGTTAAAAAATATACTCGGCAAACTCAGGCTAAAATACTTTGCTGACTCCTCGAACCTCGGAGTCTCAGACTCAGACTTCAGAGGCTCAGTCCTTGACTCCTTTGCTGCCTAAAAGTAGATATACAATTGTACACGACTACAAGCCCTAAAAGTTTCTGGTTTTTTTTTAAATATTCCGGACAAAAGATCCAGTACCACCAGCCGGTCCAAAAATCAAAATGAACTTTCGGTCGAATATATAATGGCTGGAAGGATTAGTGAGACAGTGGACAGACTGGGCACACGCCACTTCTTTATATATAAATATAATATATATATCAGTTATTAAGTTACGTACATACTGTAGGACATAAATAGCCCCACACGAAAGAAACACCCACCATCCCACCCCGAGCAAGACAAGCCCCCTAGGGGCCCCTGGAATCTAAGTTCAATTCTAGAAAATACCATATGCATTGGGTTCAAAAACAACAAACTCTGCAGGCCAGGGGGAGATCTGGTGTTTATGTGTAACTTGAAACACTGTTCGCGGCGGGCGTTGGCGTTCTTGTTATTTTTATGACTTATCACCCAACGGCAGTACGGCATAGACGGATCAAAGGACGACGAGACTTTCCAGCAATTCTGAAAATTAGACTCAGAAGAAGTCTATGCTTCTTCTTGATTTTGACAGAGAATGTTGTTTTTGACCTTGTTGAAAGTGCGACGGTTTGACTGCGCTGAGGATGTATAGTTCTCTTTCTGTGTTTATATCGGTATTAATCTCTTTTCAAAACCACTCAAAATTTCGTCCCAAATGTACATTTTGTTGTGACATGATAAGCATCATAAGGACAGCCATATCTATTTACTTGATGGTATATGTACTAGGATGCATATAGTAAATGTGTATGTGCGTATTTGTGTACAAATTTGCAAATATATATATGCGTGTGTTCATTCATATATATACATATATATATATATATATGTGTGTGTGTGTGTGTGTGTGTGTATGTGTGTGTGTATAGTAAATATATATTTATGTAAATATATTATTTATATATATATGTATATATATATATATGTATATATATATATATATTATTATATATCTCATATATATATATATATATATATATAGGTATATATACTCTAT